ACAAGTTGACAGACCAGCATATCTTATGTATTTACTTTCACATCTGTCTAATAGAGGTTTTTAAATTTCTATTCTTTTTCTATTAATGTACTTTCATTCTTATTTCTATTCTGGTATATTTTTATACAGTGTATGGAACGATTATTTTGGTTTCCCAAATTTTCATTATGGTAGACATGATAAATTAGTGTAACAAGCATGGGCAAGATTACTTTAAAATGTAATCAATAAATTATTTATTACGAAGAGGAATTCTGTGTAATGGATTATAAATCAACAACAATCAATTTTGTCCTGTAATTGATTGTAATCGATTGCTTTGAAAGATATAATCGATGAATAATCGATTACTTCCAAGTTTTTCCCCATGAAATATAAAAGCTGCTGCAGAAATATATTCAAATGTTATGTAGTGATGTTAATGATTTCCACTGGAGTTCGCAGTGGAGTCTGTTTAATTGTGTGAGATTCATTGCAGATTGTATGTATAATTTTTTTTTTTTTTTTTTTTTTTTTTTTTTTTTTGGTGGGGGGGGGGGGAGGGGTAATTTCATACTTAAAACCTAACATTTTAAACAGTAAATATTTAAATGAGATAATCTCTACCATTGAAAGTGAACCAACGGTTCTTGCAATGAATTATACTGAAACGCCTCAAAGAATTTATTATTTCTTTCGCCTTTGGATCTGAACCTCAATATTCATTGACTTGCAAAAAATATTAAATTGTTTGTGATTTACAAGTATTTTGACTGCCCGCATGATGGAAGTACAGGTAAATATTCCTGTGTTTTCTTTCCAAAGATAATTAATAAATAAATACTCTAAGTAATAAACCAATAACTTAAATGACTGATAGAGCAATCTCTTTCTGTATTATAGTTTGTGTTTTGGGAGCTATCAATTGTTCAAATAATACTGATTATCTTCAATATAACTATCAATTAGAAAAGTTAAAGACTTATAGCAACTTCTGAGTTCACACCTCATTATCTGCTGTCAGGGATATCCCAGTCAATTAGCCATGACAAACAAATACAGAGCCGGGACACCTTCGACTCCCCCTTCCCTCTTTCAAACTTTCACACTTGTACCCTCTCACTGACAAAACAAATAACCTAAGGCTTACAGTTTTGAATGAAAACATAGGAATGATTTGCAAATTTTAAAGTTAGTCCAATATAAAATGCACACAAAATATGTACATGTATATCTTAAATGGCTGAGATATACATCTGAATTATTTCATACTAGACCACACAGCCTGTAATGTAAATTTTTGTGTTATTTAAACTTATAATAATAAAAGTTATCGAAATCAACACATATCATCGAGTGGTTCTTATCGTTCTTCTGACTTGAAATAATTCTCAAAATAAAAAGCAATTATGTATAAAGTAATCGAAAGTAATTGAAAAAAGTAACTATAATTTAACAAAACATTTCAGTCGTAATCGCTGAAATTACGATTACAAATAATTAATATTTCTTTGATGACAGATTACTGTCGAGTACTTGAAAATAAGTAATCATTACAATGGATTAAGGTTGCTCTATCACGATTACCCCATGTCTGAAATGTAGTAAATATTATTTGTAAAGAAATTACAAGCCCCGAGGTTGAATATTGTGGGGGTGTCCTTTCCACAAGTACCTGTGGATGAAACTAGAAGAGAAGGGCGCAGCTATTTCTAGAGAATCGATTCTTAGATTGTTTTAGGTTCTGTAGCACATTTTCCGCAAGACTCTTTCGAAGTGGGACTTGCTTACTTGTGTAAGGTCATTTGGTGGGACAGTTGCATGGGGCTAATAAACGGCAAACTCTGTGTCTCAGTTTTTTTTAATCTTTCCAAATATTACACTTGTGGGCTGCCGTAAGTGACGCACAGTATGAATTCTTCATTTGAAACGAAACTAAACTTTGCTAGGTAAGACCTTAAACCTAACAGGTAAAGTTGCAATTAACTTGGTCTTATAAAAAATAACAGGTTGTTAAAACTAACAATGTCTGGATTTTAGACCAAATCCTTAAATCAATACAAAAGTATTTCTTCCTTTCCCGTTCAACCTTTAAACAGGTTTGGGCCAATCAACCAACGGGATAGAATATAAGTAAATGTCGCGTACAGAATGCGTTTCTTCCATAATGAAAACAGAAAAAATTGACTTCGCAAGATGTCCATTACAGTGGTAAAGAAAACATGTCGTATGTGAAGGTTAAATGAAAATTATCGTGGTTTTGATCCTAGCGTAGGTCTCTTTGTATAAGACACAACGCGTGTTGTATTAAACGGCCTTCCATGGTTGTATTTTGAAAACTGGCCGTAATGTTCTTGTGATTTTCTTTTAAAGATCAACCTTGGTAGTCATCTTGATATCTCGCGGTACCAAATTATCAAAACAGAAAATGATTATGATCTTTGGTATGCTTTGATTTGGAGTGAATGTATGAAACACCATTAAAGCTTACATTTTAAATGATAAAACCTAAACGAAAAAAATAAAATGTAGCTATTTAACTTAGGTTTCTTGCCACATTTGCTCTTCTATTAAATAGATATTTAGATGCGTGCATATGATATTTCAGATATTCAATCCGCATTTCAAATGAATGAATATTTTTAGACAAAATTAATAAATATAAACTTCTTAAAAAAACAATCAGGGACGACGATAAAGTCTGATACATTAAAAGTTAGACTTTGTATATTAAAATTACAAAGTGCAATCCTGATCAATTGCAAGGAGACGTATTTTCAAATTTCTTTGTGCAAAGTATAAATCAGAAATTTACATATTTGGAATGTTTACATGTACTTATAGCCTGACTTGGTCACAATAATCTGTTTTGTCATATTCTCTTCCGATTGGGAGATTTGTCTCAACCTGTTCAATTCAAATTGGAAGTTCTATTTTTCCTTTCTATTTTATAAAAAAAAAAAAGTTTAATGGCTTGGAGTATTTAGGAAATAGAGTCTTGGATGTAGATTTCATGGAGTGCAGATTCTTCATAAACCATAATATCAACACAAGAGATGGAAATCAAAGACTTTAGATTCAACAGACATTAGTTAGACATTTATACGATGCAAATGGGTTTGCTGGAATTTCGCTAAATCTTTGTGTTCTGCATTAAGTCCCTGTTAAGTCCCTTTAACCCACTCCTACAAATAAGAACCTTAACATATCCAACTCTTTTTATATAACTCTTACCTCTGAAGATCATCTCTTAACGAGCTACTTCTAACGGAGACTTGGTCCGAATAATTGCATAAAATAAACAGTTAACAAGTAATGCCCGGATACCTTTGTATCAAGATGAGGATATATAATAGCAAGATATCGTAAAACTGCTTTAATCGATGTACATTAATAAAAATCATCATTATTTCTAATTCTTAACTGAATTACTCTCGATTTTACTTTTGCGGATTTTTATTCAGAAAATGAGTAGTTTTACTATTTCTTTTCGGCAGTTTTTCTACATTCCATCTCCTATAGTTTTAAATAAATGACATGTTTTGATTTCTGCTTCAAGTTTAAAATTAATGGGTCGATCGATAGTGAGAGAGATTAAAGCTGTTTTAAGCGACAGTTATATTGAAAAAAAAAAATCTTTGTTATTTGCTGTATAATTTTACTGTTAATTTATTTTTATTCACAAGATTGTTACAGGGCTCTCCAGTAACTAAAATATCCACTTGATTATCTGATAACATGCCATCAAATGTAAGTTATCGGAATGCTTTTTGATTTCATCAAATCTTAACACAACGAGAAAGATTAATTATCAAGACTGACTCAAGTATAAACAAAAGAGTAAATCACATTTTATTTGCAAGAATTTGGCGATAATGCATAATCATCTGCTGTCGAATATTAAACTCTCGCGTTTGTTTTCTTAAGGAGGGATTCTTGTCTGGTTTCTGACTAGATGAAATATTCAAAGTACATTTGCTGATTTGTTTTATATATTTAAATGTAAGAGATTTAAAAGATCATATTATTCTTTCCTCATCACAATTGTACAAATTTAAATACAAAATGGTAAACCCGAGTTTGAAATCTAGCAGGGACTATATTTTTTGTGGAATGGCGGCGTATAAAAATATCTTCTTTTCTGCCTCTCAAAATAGTTATAGAACAATGAATTTAGTTATAATTTTTACACAATCAAAGACTTAGAGAAAAATTTTAGATGTAAGTTAAATTAATAATAAGGGAATAAAGTTTTAAAATATATCAAATATATATGATTTTCCAAACAAACTACAATTATGTTAGCTTCTAAAAGCTTCCAATCTAAGATTTGAGCCAAAAATCCGTAAAAAGTGTTTTTTCTCTCTTAGTAAACGGTCAAAACTTTTTGTTTTTATATCATTTTGTATCTTTATGTGACAACTTTACCATATGTGAAAACAAGAAAAATCTAAATATAGGAAGCATATAAAAACAACTAAAATATCTTAAAATTCGGATTAGCCAATATCCGTTTTAGTTAATTTATTTATGTCAATTTTGTAATATCATCTTAAAGATCCTATATGGTAATATCTCTTTATGCAAAAAGAAAAACTTTTGATTTATTGAAATAGAAGTAGGCATCGCATGATTGGCAACAGTAATTTTTTTATTCTTAATGTCCAGGGAAAAGGTACTGACCTTGACCTGACCTTGCCTCTAATATAAAACGGTCAAATTTAATCTAGCTGATACCATCACTTGTCTTATTGATTCTGTGAAAATTTCATTGATTTTTGAATACAAGAAATCAGTGGTCTTATTAGAAGAATCCCTCCTTAAGTACATCATAATTTGTTAAAATGTTGTCTTGCTTTAAACTATCAAATGGCAACCTCAAGAAAAAATAATGTCATGAATATACTTTGTGATGTACAGTATTTGGCTTCAAATATTTGTTTATGAAATCTAAACGCAACAATTGGTGAATATATTTTCTTTTCTTAATTTGAAGTTTGTGTTCGTGATAGGTAAACAAGATGATGCAAGCCCAAGTTTTGACTGCTGTTGTGAAGGAAATGAAAATAGTGAGGACAATAAATTATGGACAGAAATACATCACTGATCTCAAATATGTAAATAAAGGAAAGGTGTGTGTTTCTGTTGTAAACAAGCTTCACGAAAAACCTTTTTTATATCATAGAGGTGATTCTATTTCCTGTTTCTCTACTTATGGCTCCTGTTTGTGCTTTACATGGCGTGAATATCCCGAGGATATTATATATATATTTTCGGATAACAGATCATTAATATTGTATGACAAACTGAGAAATAAAAAACGTATTTGGCCTCAGTCAGGTGAACTATCGACTGAGTACACACCAAGTGGAATAGCAGCGTGCAAATCGCAAGCCATTTTGGTTTGTCTTTGGAATCATCAAGTACACGAGCGCTCTCTCGGTAAAGTTCTTAAGCTGTCTATTTGGGGAGAGAAATTCTTTGAAATAGAAACCGATAAAAATCGACCACTTTTTATTTGTCCGACCTACATAACAGAAAACGGCAATGAAGACATCTGCGTTTCTGACGTGAACGCCGTGGTTGTCACGGACGCCGGGGGTTTTCTAAGATTTCGGTACAGAGGAACCCAAAGTGACCCTCAGTTTGACCCATACGGCATCTGCTGTGATTCCAAGAATAACATCATTGTAGCAGATACGGTGAAAAACAGAATTCACATGATTGATCAAAACGGCGGGCTGCTTCACTATATTAATTACAGTGACATGCACATGCCCCGTGCACTCTGTATAGACGAGGGTGATAACCTGTATGTCGGGGAATGGTTGTCTGAAGAAATTAAAGTCCTCTCACTTCAATGACTTAAAATTATTTTATCCTCAAACTGATGGACTGCTTGATTTGTTTGTTTGTTTTTTCTACATATTTATTATATATAGGATCATATTCCTTTGAGTGATTAAAGATCATTGAAATCATTATATTTGCTTATAAATCATTTAGATAAATATGTATTTTCGTGTATATAATTTTTAAAGTAAAATTCTGTTGTACGTGTATATCTCCTGTAGTTTGAATTATTTATGACGATTGAAGGGTGAATTTGTTTGTACTTATCATATAGTGTTGTTGTACACTTTCTTTTCCGGTTTTATTAACAAACATTTGAATGACATTTCTTAACTATTTTACCATATTCATTTTTTTTGTCAATGTTATAAATTAACAAAAAATCTTATTTTTTATTTGGACCATTTGACAAACTTTTCTAACAACCAGTCCTTAAGAAGTGACTATTCACAATGTCCCTGTATCACAGAATATTTTTGTACATGCATTTTGTTTCCTAGTACATGTATTATATTCAATATTTAGATGAAACTCAATAGCATACATCTTATGCCATTTTAGGATATTAATGACCCTTTTTAGCTAATTTTCTTCAGCTTGAGTATCTCTTACTTTTATCAGTAAAATTAATGTTGTGCACCATAGAAACCCTTAACTTAATTTATAATAACAATCCATATACAAAATTATAGTAAATGAATTTTTTTACATATATTTAAGGATATATGTATAAAAGAGAAGATTCGGATCTTGAATACGCTAATTAATAAATAAATACGATGTGCGGATTTCAAGCGAGGTTTACCTATGATTTGTGAGTTCTAACATAAAAACACACAACCGCACATCCTTTCGTTCACACTCTATCCATATCAAGTAATGGGAATAATATCTGAAATAAAATTTTAAAAAAAATAAAAATGTTATTTGGCGGAGTAGGCCAATAAGAAGCAGATACATAAATGTAAAAATATTGGGGGGTTTTAATGAAATATGCTACATGAAGTATAACTATTTCACTTAGAGAATACTGTAAAACAGTTTTTTGGACAATTTTATTGCTCTCAGCTTGGAGGTTCACATATAATTAAAGTATCAATGAAAAGGGCATTTACATGTACTAAATGTTATACAATAAACAGCACTGTTTAAGCTATAAGGTTTTCACTGAATTTAATTTCAAAAATACTGTACTCGTATATAGCCTTTATTTCAACGCAACAAAGTTTTCTCTCTTCCACGGCGGAATTAATTTCTGAAAATTATCTCCATTGGTATCCGAGTGTATCTAAATCAGTATAAATCATTGCATCTTGTAAATTTTTCACTTAAATTGACTCAAACATTTTACTAATTTTATTTTAAAAAGAAGATGTACGTACGAGCTTTATTTATCTTGTGATAAAGGGTACATGTATATTTCTGGTATATGGGTGTATCAATACATGAGTAAGCATGCAATACTAATTGATGCGGCCTTTGAATGTGATTCAGCAGAATAAAACCATGCTATGTATTTAATCTGGACTTCCGACTTTAGTCATGAATGAGCAATTTAAAAAAGGGATATATTTTTAGAACATGCATGACCATGACATTTGCCCTCAAAGTGAAATGTATTGGTTTTGTAGTTTTTTTTTTCTGCTTGAATTATACATATGAAAATGTTCTCTGGTAAAAAAAAAAATAACATCACACAAAATGAGTTTAGGTCTTTAACTACCACTAATTTAACTTGATCTTTAATTTAATTTGAATGGAAAGCATGTTTCAGTGTGGTTAATACAAATCTATCTCAAATTGTCAGGCTTTTTTTAAACTTTGAAAACATTTTTTTTCATTTAAAACGAAAGTAGGTGGTTCATCGTAACAGTATTCCAGTAAGGCTGTTTGATTTTGATTCGACGTACACTGGTATCTGCCTTTCAAACACTTTAAGTCACGTGATGCCTTCTCCCATGATGCTTGGTCTGTCGGGCAGGCCTCGGTTTCTTTAATTTGAAGTGTCTTTGTCTCATTCTGTTCATAATACAAAGTATTATAGCTAAATGTATCGTGTTAATATTTGTTAATTATATTTAATACATGATAGGTAAGAAAAAATATTTATATTTCAAAATGTAACATATATTATGAAACACCCTGTACACCTTTGTCACTGGTCACAAGACTTTGCATTTCTTAGCATAAACCTATTTCTTTATGATGCTTTATAGGAGGAAAAACTTAAACAATGTATTCTGCGCTTACCCTTCATTTTGTCAGCAATATTACATTTATTACAGACCCTGACCTTTGACTTGGCACCACCAATTTTTACCTTTTGACGATGACCTTAAAATCTGACCTACTGTTGAAAAACATTGACCTTTGCCATAACTTTTAAAAGGTTGGTGCTATGACTTTTAAATATTATTTGTATATTTATTGTAACAAGATCTTATTCGGGTACCAAGAATTTTTATCTTGTTACCTTGACCTTGGAGTTTGACCAACAAAAAAATAAACCTTGTCTTTAAACGTTAGCTCCTAGGGCTCCCATATTTCATTTATTCGTTCCCTTTGGTAAGACTTTTCCTTTGGTACCATTATGTTTTGTCCTCATGACATTGACCTTGGATAATGACCTACTTTTATAAAATCTTTAACCTAGTGCATATTTTCTGAATTTGTAGTACTAAGGCTATAATATTTCAGATTTGTATTTTTTGTGACAAAATCTTTCTTCCGGTATCAACATTTTTAAACTATTGACCTTGAAGACTGACCTACATTTGAAAAAACATTAACCTTTGTCTTGAGCTGCCATACGGGGTTTCAGTGTTTCATAAACACATCTTGTTTCATACCGTTTTAGTTAATTCATTACAACATCGAGGCATGTAGAAAATATCACACACTACAGGGTATATATAGCATTTAGAGATACCCAACAAGTAGATTACTGATAAACCTGTGCAAAAATAAGACCATTGACTCGAAATGAACTGGAACATCTTTTATCTTCTACTATTTGAGCCGTCCCATGCGAAAAGGGCCCATAAGGTAAAAATTTTCAGAACTGACTTTTCAATGGATTATGATAGATTATAGTGTAAAATAACCAAATATAAAGTTTGATTCAAATATTCAGAAAAATTACTGAGATATAGGGAATCAAGGTTAAGAAAATGTTAAAATTACCTTGTAAAATGACGTTGAAAAAAGACGTTCAAACTGACACTTTTATATCCCTCTCAGAAATATTTGAAATACGTATCTGACTGGAAAAAAACCTTACTTTATCACATGAAAACATATATGAAAAATTTATGCATAAATCCCCTCCTTTTATTCTACATGCAATATTTGATTTAATTCTTTTCGTTAAAGTATATCCAAATTATACACTTGTTGTCGAAACGGTTTCATTGTTATTAGTTAAATTTTATTAAGAAGCTCTAGGTGTTTTGGACTCTGATAAGACAGAAGTTACATGTACATTTTAAGAGTCGACATTTTTGCATGTCACATAAATGTCCATTTTGGTCATTTATAGCACACATGATTTTAAAAAATCGGATAAAAAATTATTTATGTTAGTTTTCTCAAATTAAACACAGATATTGGTTTTATGTCTATGGAAGGGAATTACCGCCAAAAGTCTATTTATCTTGCTTTTATTCTTATTCTGCCTTCTTCTTTATTCTTTGTTATTAATGTAACTATATGTCACTTTATTGTTTTCATATTGGTCTTTATTGCATTTCACTTTGAACTTTTTTTCATTATTTATTTTGTCCTTACTTCTATGTTGCTTTATTCTTGTAAATTCTTTCTTCTTTCTTTAAATTGATACAGTTTCTTTAATAAATAATTATGATCATCTCTATTACAAATGTAAATTCAGTCATGCAAACCATGAAGCCCATTCAACGAAGACGAATACAGTAGTGTGAATTTAATGCGGCATTATAACGCTAGGTGGGAGGGTGTTCGCTGCGAGTGTTGGTAAAATTAGGTATACAAACCCGGGCCGAGGTTATTCGAGATTTTTCAGATTTCTGCCTTAATACTTTATCAATCGAACCCAAATTTTCAAGTTATGTTAGTTTTAGGTTTATTTGCATACGCGGTAAAATTGCCCCGAAATGCTCAATATTTTAGATTTAGAAGAAAATTATTTGATTTCCAAGTTTTTGGAAGGCAGTATCAAGCTGACATTTTTAGTGGGGTTTTTTAACAAAAAGCTAATCAATTTATAAATTATTCTGATGCTAAACATTATAATTTAGCTATTTATAAGCATTTCTTCTTTCAAATGTGCTTTTGTTTCTTTAAATAACACGTTTTAAGAAAATCTGGGTCATTAAAACCGCATGAATGATGAGAACTCCAAAATAATTGTGTATTTTCTGTCACCTGAAAAAAATAAGTAACTCTATTTCAAGTTATTTGTTGGATGATTGAATTTCAGTTTTATTGATATAAAAAAATATTAAATATTTTGATAATTACTAGTATACCCTTATAAATTGAGTTGTTTTTCAGGACCCCTATATATTCTTCCACTGAACTGACATTTCTTTATTTCAGGATAATAAATGTTCATGCGCAGTCGCTTGATTCTGGGGACCGCGGGGTTAGTCTGGTTTCGGCCAACCTATAATGCTCTGCAAAGTAGTGCGGAACGTCATGAGTAGGCGTGGCCGGAACTAGGCTAGACCGGGGCATACTAGAAACTTCCCCCGGTTTTTATGAAAAAATATATTATTTTTTTTGTATAGAAATAGCACTTTTCAATAAAGAAATAAATATCTCTAGTAAGCACACAGTGTTTGACATCAGAATAACTCAAAAAAATATTTTGTCAATTTCTCGTTTGGCAAAAAATACGTAAAATGTCGGCTTGACATAATTGCCCACCCATCTTAGCAAATTGGAAATCAAAAATCGCCAAAAATAATCTAGAATATTGAGATTTTCAAAATATAAATACAAGAATATAAATATTGGCAATTTTTACAGCGAAT